GTGTGTGTGTGTGTGTGCGTGTGTGTGTGTGTGTGTTAAACACGCAAAGGAAACATGGTTGGCGAAACATTTGACGCAGCTCAAAGACTCGGTGAGTGGCGGCTATGTTGTAGGCTCCGCCTCCTGCCTCTCCTCCCCCTGCTGCTGCTAGATAAACAGCTGCCTGTTGTGTCACCTTTGAGCTCCTCAAAGTCAGAGTTTGACTTCTCGCATCTCATGGGATAACAGGGCTGATCTGCTCGTCCCAAGACTGTAGTGTTAAGTCATCAGGTCCAGGTGTCCAGCGTGGGTCGAGATCTACAGTGAGACCCAAGTTCTGAAGTCCTATGACCCAACACTATAGTGTTAGCCATGTGCTCCCAAATCTTCAATGAGACCCAAGTCTCCTATCCCGAGTCCTCAGGTCAAGGTGCCTTGCCCCAAATCTTCAGTGACACTGAAGTCCCAGGTCTGTGGTCTAGGACCGTAGTGTCAAGTTATCAGGTCCAGGTGTCTAGTCGCAAGTAACCAAGCTCAAACGGGTCCCCGAGTCCTGAACGGCGGTCCGTGTGATGTCACAGGTATGCGTGCGGCGACGTCATCTGGAGCTTTCTGCTGCAGTCAAGCGGCTGAAATGTTAGCATGTCGCTAGGCTTGCCGTCGCCCGCCTCACGTCTGCGCCTCCCGTTTTTCCCCCGTGACGCTTTGCGCGAGGTGACTTGCGAACACGTGACTGATCGTGTGACTTTTGCCGTCTCAGCAAAACCTTCTGACGATGGAGCAAATCGTCTCGGTGGAGGAAACGCAGATTAAAGACAAGAAGTGCATTCTGCTGCGCATCAAAGGAGGGAAGCAGTTTGTGCTGCAGTGCGAGGTAACACACGCGTCGTCACATGCCAATGGAGCACACACACGCATGCACACACTCAAATCCACGTGCATAGACACGAATGCACACAAACACTTGTATGCACAGACATGCAAATTTGTACTCACACACACACATGTCTGCAGAGCGACCCCGAGTAGGTGCAGTGGAAGAAGGAGCTGACAGAGGCGTTCAGCGAAGCTCAGAAGTTACTGCGGCGCGCACCCAAGGTCATCGGCAAGAGTCGCACCGGCGGCGTGGTGGAGCTCTCCAAGCCCCCCCTGACGCACCGCAACAGCAACGGCCTGTGAGTGCACATGTGTGTGTGCGCGCACGGACAAACGCATACATACACCCACACACGCGTACACACGTCACGACCAATCCTCATTTTTCACACCGCCTGGACCTCGCCAGTCGTGGATGCGGAAGCAGCATGTGAAGAACTTTGCATGAAACCCCACCCCACCCTTAGCGGGACAGCCTGCAGTGTCGAGGAGGAGCTTCTTATCGCTGCGCACACCCTCTGCCCCCTTGCCCCTCCTTACTCCATGTATTCCAAGTGCATCAAGTGCCAATGCGCACGATTACTCAAGGGGGCGGGTCAAACATTCCCCTGCAAGAAGCAGGAAGTCAATGGACTCACCTCTGATTGGCTGCCGCTCAGCCAACCGGGAAAGAGATTTCACTGCAGCCTGTTGATACAATAACTGCAAACACTGTGGTGGTAGTGGTGGTGGGGATGGTGGTGGTGGTAGTGGGCTGCATGTGGGGGTGGGGGGGGGTTGTGTATATACATACATATATATATCTATATGTATATATATGTATATATATGTATATGTGTTCAGTGTTTGCATCAACATCTGTACGGGGAGAGGGAAGAAAAGACAGGGCTGAGACACAAAGTAGGCCTCAGTCACCGTAGCAACCCCGTGCGCCTCATTTGGACTGAGTCACTGTGAGGGAACGGGGGGGGGAGGTCAGCTTGGCCTTTTGGACCCTTCCATGGGAAACAGGAAGTGAGCTCTGGAATGAGGCGGAGCCTATCTTGGTGGCGGTCAGAGCTAGCCACGTTAGCATCCTAGCTAATGCAAAAAAAAAAAAAAAAAACAACCAGGAGTTTGTTGGTCCCCACAGTGATGGCAGAGTTCCAGAGAGGAGCGTCGGATTCTCTACAATGTCTTGCCATGTTCTCAAACGTGCTCCAATGAATGTGCTAGAATGTTTCACAACATTATAGAGGGATCTTGGAGGTTTTGCAAGGTAATAGAGCATTCCAGTGTTCCATAATGAACCTTCTGTATGGGTCTGCAATGTTTGAGCGCCCTCGAGAATGAACTAGCAGTCTAAAATGATCTCGATTCCTCTAGCCTCTTATAAAACACTCCTGAAGGATTGAGAGGGCTCAGCAACGTTAATGGAGGGTCGCAGTGTAAGTTAGCGGATCTACAAGTTTCTGCGATTATTGCAGAGCAGGGTGTCCAAATTCCGAGCCTCGAGAGCTCCTAGCCAGCGCCTTTTCGACGTCTCCCTCCTCCAACACACCTGACTCGAATGATCAGCTCAGAGCGTCATGTGCTAACTCGCTACATGATAGACTCGGTGATCAGCTCTGATCATTTGAATCAAAAAGGACGTTCTGCAACATTCGCGAATGTTCTACAATATTGTAGCTCAGACTGTGTTCTAAAACATTCCGGGATGTACGGTGTGGTAGAATGATCCAAAAAACGTGTACGGCGACATCCTAGTGTGATGTCAAACGTTCTAGAATGTTCCAAAACATCCTCAATCGGACTCCACAAAGATTTGGAAGGAATGTTGTACAAATTGGGAGTTCGATCTACACGGATCGAAAATGTACGAGATGAATAAGTCAGGATGAAACGTTCTACAAGAAGCTACAATGTCGTAGAACATTCCAAATTGTATGTTTTAAAATGTCATGCTCAGTGACATTCGAGAAGGATCTACGAGATCATTTTAGACTGTTCTGAAATCGTTTCAATGACCTATATTGGTGAGATTTTACATCCCAAAACACTTTCTAACAGCCCAGAGGACTCTGCAAAATGTTCGTGCATTTTCTTCATTCTAAGACATTCCAGCATGATGTCGAGTGTCAGAGAATGTTCCAAAATATACTATTACACTCTTAGAATGTCCAGACATTCTAGACTGAGCTCTGATCTTCTGGAATCTTCCAAAACAAACGCTCGACATTATTGTCGTATGATCTTAAAAGGACCTATAAAATCCGAGAGGACCTTACTATGTTCTAGAATTATTCCAAATTCATGTTTTAGATCGAGAAATCCGGTTTTATAACAATCTTGTTGCATCCACATAAATCCTGCAATGTTCTCCGTCATTTTTGTCCTTATCAGTGAATCTTCTACGAGGTTCTGCAATCTTGTCGCACATTTTTGAGCATTGTAAAAAAAAAAAAAAAAAAAAAAATCCAACCATGAAATTGTATGTTGTCAAATGTTCCAAAATGAACTACTTCTATTCGAGTCTAGAATGATTTGCAACATTCTAGAACGATTAAAAATAATAATAAATAAAATCACACAAGTACTAGAAAGACATACCAGTACATAATTTGAGAATTTTCCAAAAAATGAATGTTTTAGAATGAAAACAAGGCTGTATAACATACTAGGGAAGTCTCCACAATATGGTAGCACATTTTACGTTGTTGTGAAACAATCCAGGAGAAGTGTTTTTAACTTGATTCAAAAATCAGTCATAGCGACGGCGAGTGCAACCCGACGAGACAGCGTGGTTAAGCGTTCACGAGCTTGTTTTATTTGTGGTGGGGCGCGCGGGGGAGAGGGCGGGCTTGTCAAATGTCGTCACCTCAAGGTGTCTTTTAATTTTTTTTGGAGCGTATTCATTTTGCGTTCGTGCACCTTTTTTTATTTTTGTTTTTTAAGCGTCATGTGCTAACTCGCTACGTGCTCGACTCAATGTGCCAAATGGAGGGGGGCGGAGCCAGCAGGAATCCTTTGCACGTCCCGTCGCGCCAACAAGATGGCGGCCCGGGGAGGGGGTGGGGGGACCAAAACTGTGACCAATCAGGCGCCGCTGCCACCCGCTATTTCCTGTTCACGCTGTTCGGATGCTACAAGAGCACAGTGACAAAAAAAAATAAAAAATCAAGCTTAAATAAATGAAAGAAAAAGAAATATATGTGTATAAGAAAGCTTTAGGTTTATTTAAAAGATATCATGTAGGAAAAAAAGCTGAGAAAATTTGGGGGATTTTATTGTGATTTTTTTTTTTTTCTTTCAGATGTTTGTGGTGAACAATCTTGCACATAAAGACTTTCAAAACAAAAGCCGCCTCTGCTCTTTTTATTAGGAACGTCCCAGGTCCAGATCTCAAACAAGTCTGTCGTCTCGAGTCATACTTTTTATGTGTCCGACAAGCCCTGATTTGTCAAGCGGTTTCGTTTCATGTCTTCTGTGTGAGGTTCTGACATCACCTCGCATCTCATCTTTTATTTATGAAACGTTTTGTCAATCAAGTAATCTCTCATGACCAATCACATGCCTGTTTTTATGTTTGCATGTGAGAAGTAGGGCGCCTCAGATGTCCCCGCCCTCTCGTGAGACTCCCGCCGCCCCTCCAGATCAGTTCAGCTGCAGCTGTCATTCAAAGTGAACCTCCGACCCAACCGCGCCGCTTGTCACCCCTCAAAAATAGGAAATACCTTCCAGTGATCGAATGTTTGTCCAAACTAGATGATGACTTTTCTGTCCTAGAACATTGAAGAACCTTACTTTTTGTATTGTTGACACATTCACGTTTGTAGCAGAAGCGCCCCCCCCCCACACACACACACACACACACACACACACACACACATCCAAAGTGCTCTCGGCAGCCCTTCCCCCTCAGATTTTATTTATAGGACATGTCGCTTGTCAAGAGTCACGCCACTTGGACACTCCAAGGCAGCAGACCGGATCGCAAAGTCCAGTCCTCAAGTCCTGTCCTCCTCCTCGAACCTCGTGGACGTCCTCATAGGTAACCTTCTTCACTTAATTCCAGATTCACTTTGACTTCACTTCTCGCTTTGGCAGCTTTTATTGTGTTGGGATTCATGGCGGCCTGAGATGTTACTGCCAGACAGTCCGAGGCCAAGATTTGGATTTTTCTCTGGCCTTAAGTCAGGCATTTGTCCGGTTCTGGTTGTGATTTCTCTGTGGAGTGGGAGGAGCCAAGTGTCTGTTCTCTAACGTCACATTTGGAGCAAAGACTTTGCCTGTGGCCTAAATGGAACAGTCTGCTTTAGTTGCCAAATTCTTGCTTTTGTATTTATTGACACTTCCCACTACATCAGGGGTGTCAAACTCATTTTTGTTGAGGGCCACATTGGAGTCACCGTTTCCCTTGGAGGGCCATTATGACTGTCAAACCATATGAAGTCAAGAATAATGCTTTATTCAACGATTGTTGAAGTGACTGTGATGAGGACTTTGGTCACAAGAAAATGCTTACAATATGTTATTTATTACATATCAGATTTTAGCAAGCAACAATCATGGAAGTTGACATGTTTGATTTGCTTTCGCGGGCCACATAAAATGATGTGGCGGGCCAGATCTGGCCCCCGGGCCTTGACTTTGACACCTGTGCTCTGTATCATGACCAAACTGAAGTGCTCTGGAAGGAAATGTACAAAATGGGCAAATGCCTGGTAGCAAACAAAAAAAGAGCTTTCAGGCAGTTCCTTCCACTGGTGGAAATGCTATCAGGCGGTTTCAGACGACTTCCGCCTTTCGTTGTTCTCGACCAGACAAACTGGAGTCACTTGTGTTTCCACTGATGCCATTTGACTCCAAGATTGAAAGTTGGGACTGGCCAAAGATTTCACACCATCCTTCGTCAATTTAAGTGTCCCGTGAATGAACCGGAAAAACACCTTGCAGGAATTCTTTATCCCATTTAGGTCTTGGTGAAACACTTGAGCGCTCGTCCAGAATC